TCTACTATAATTATTTTATTCTTTTTAAAAAATATTCTTAAAATTAATTTTTTCACATAAGATTGCATTGTCATCAGTTTCTAGGCTATCCTGAAAGTTTCAGCTTGATAGCTAGTCGGGAAGTGAGTGAAATTTGAGTTTCTAAATTTGATCCCAACAAACAGACAGACAAGAAAGTGAGTTCATAAAAACGTGGTAAAAATGGACTTCCAGAGATCATTTACACGTTCAGTTTTTCACTTCCTTTCAAAACTCATCAAGTTATATTTAGCATTAACGTAAAAAGCAGTTCATTGTCTTGTCACTGCATGTTTTGGGACGTGCATGTTTTAGGACGTACTTCACCTGATCCTCCAACATGTCTAACTTGTGCCGTCGTCAGAACCTGATTGAAAGATGTTTCCACTGCTCCTCCATCTTCTTCAAAGTCTGCGCCTCCAACCACTCACATGTTTCTCCATTCAAAAGAGGACTTGGCTGAGCAGTGCTGCCACATGGATCAACTTGTTTCATAGCTGCTCCAGATTTTCAACTCCTTGAAAATGACATTTTGATAGAAGAAACCTCCAATTGCTGCGGACATTACACAGCCTTCAAGCAAATATATTTGAAGCACCATTTCTGCATTTATGGCTTCAAGAATGAATAGAGCAGGAACACATTCTTGTTGGTTTTTCCAAGAGAACTATATTTTTTCTTCACAGGTGTCATGAGAAACAGTTACAAAGAATATATGCAAATAAAACCGCGAACAATTGAAAACAAACTTGCTCTTCAAACAAAACGGAATCAACAAACAAAACTACTTGGCTTATGGCACAACTCCCAACTGAAGAAAACCAAAACATTTTCAAGAAAATTTGAACATATCCTAAATTGAAGCTAAAGATGTCTCATTTTCTTTCTGTGATGAAACAAAAATTGATCCAAACAATGAATCTTGATATATTCTTACTTTTGCAAACCTAACTTTTTCAATTGCTGGGAATCTGGGATTATTGAAAATTCTGTGCACCAGCATGAAATGATAATAATGTTTCTATCAGTGGAAACTTACAATGCAGCACTATACATTTCACCTGCATGCATACATGCATATACAGATACAATTGGTTGGATACTTCCTCCAAAGAAAATTATTTTGCCAGAAATATGAGAATATACAAGGACCTTCAACCTTTGTCAACTGTCCTTATCTGGATGGGCTCTTGGAGAGCACCCAGAATGTTTTGTTTGGCCTGTTCATGAAAATGAGGGGCAAATTGACCAGTTTACAAAGACAAAGGAAAGTGGAAGTGATGTTCACATAGGCAAATGTATGAATGATATTTTTGGATACTGCAACACTGAAATTTTTCTTGTGATTTCTGGTATCAATGATATTTTCAATTTTGAAAATGGAAACCAAGATGGAAGCAGTGAATATCTGATTTTTCAAAAAGACTTGTTATTTCTTCCACATCAGTCCATGAGGGAGAGCACAAAAAGTGAGTATAAAAGATAAATATTGAAAAGTGACATACTCTCTCAGTTTAAAACATATGCTTGTAAATTTCAGCTCCTGCATTCTTTCCCATCATGATCAAGTTTGCGATGAGGAATGGGGTTGAAAAATTAAAGGAAATCTTTACAAAATTGCCTATCAACAAATGATCATCACATATGTGTATTGATAAATGTGAGAGGTCCTCAGACCCCAACACAAAGATTAGGTTCATAGTG